AAGTTCAATACCAGCCTGGGATACAAAGTGAGCTCAAGGCCAGCCTGAGCTGCATAGCGAGAGCCTAACTCAAAAAGACAGAAAACAAAAGCAAAAAAAAAAAAAAAAAAAAAAAAAATGTGCAGGGAGGGCAACACGAGGTGCAGAGAGGAGGGCGGGGCCCAGCGCTTTCCCGGCCTTGTCTGCTGACTGCGTGCTAAGATTCATCTTTCATTTGCCATGAGGAGGATGAAGAAAACAGAACTCAGAAGTGGATAAAACAACAGCTCGTCCCAGGGGGTCGATTTTTCTGTACCTGTGTGGGGTGCTCTGAACGCACATAGAAACCAGGCCTGAGTGCGGCTGGCCCTTCCTCCAGGGAGGCGCCAGAGCCAAAAGGGGCCCTCAGCAGCTGCGGGCCTCTCCAAGCCTGCTGGGCCCGAGGGCTGCTCTGAGGTGGGCACAGGAGGCCATGGAAGGGGAGGGCTCAGCAGGGCGGCCCGACTGACCTTGCAGGGCTCACCTCGCACCCGGCTTTGCTCCCTCCATCCCGGGGGGCAGCTGTCCCTTCCTCATAGTTAGAAAGGAAGGAAGTTGCAGGAGGAACCAGGAGGAGGACAGATGGCGGGTGGGGAAAGACATTGTGTTTTTCTTCAATTATAAAAGAAGCAGAAAAAAATAAGAAATGCTTGTCATTTAAGAAAATCTGAACAATGCAGAACGGAACAAAGTAGAAAAAAAAAAAAAAAAACCCATGCCAGAACACTGTAGTCTAACCACGCATCTGGGGGCTGTGCTCTCCGCCTGCCCGTTATTTTCAAATGGCTCTGATTAGCACGCTGGCAAAAACTGCAGGCTGGGTTATTTTCCCTGTGGAACATGATTACGGTTATTGTTTTGCGTTACAACCTTTTCAACGGCAGCACAATAGCTCATGTTAAAGGTCCTGCATCCCTTATTCTGTCGCTCTGATTTTCTGTGTGCATGTGCATCTGTGATTATCTAGAAAGAATCCCTTGATGAACAGGAAAGAAAAGGGAAGCCTGTTAGGTCAGCAGTTAGCATTAGGTGTGGCTTTTGGAGGTGGACAGTAGCAAGCACAAAGGGGTCACTCGGACCCTACGAGGGGAAAACAGGGTGCAGGGAGAGAAGGCAAAACAATGATGCACTGACCACGGCTGAGGGCGGGGGAGGAGGGACAGGGAGTCACACCCTGAACAGAAGCAGGACAGCAGCCAGGAACTCATGAGAAGAGAAGGAAATCCCAGGGGCTCAGCCCCACTCACCGGTCGTGGCCACAGCGGACACCGGGCCCACGCGCCCGTCCCGGCGGAGCCCGTACAGGTTCATCTTGTACTTGTGGCCCGGAGCCAGGTCCCGCACGGTGGCCTGCCGCTCTTTGCCCCCCACACGCAGCACCTGCGGCCGCCCGGCCTCATCCTTGTACTGGATGCTGAATGTGTCAAAGTGGCCTTGGGCCACGGTCCAGGACAAGGTCAGAGATTCCGGGGATGTGTCTGTCACTGTCAGCTCCCCCAGGCGTGGCTCCTCAGGAGGCTCTGGGGCCTCTGTGCTGGGTTCTGGAGTGCTTGGTGTGTCTTCCTCTAGGCCTGAGAAGGGGACACACATGGTGAGGAGGCTCTCGTGGGACTTCCTCCAGCTCTGGGACACACAGGAAAAGGCGTGGCCACCACCGGGGACCTGGGCTCAGGGCAGAGCAGCCACCTGGGGCTGGGTGTCCTGCTTGGCTTATCCATGGCAACCTGGCCTCAGCACCTGGGGCAGTGGGGGCTCCAGATGGTCACCCGCACAGCCAAGGCCTCAACTGCTCCCTGCCCAGGGTCGGAGTCATCCCAGGAGGACGCAGGGCCACTCCTCAGCCCCACGCAGCCTCACTGCGTCCTGCTCAGCATCACCAGAGGACGAGGGACTGAGCCTTCCACGGGGTCCCCTGGGCCTCCCTCCATGCTCTCACCTGTCACCCCAGTGACAGACACGGGTCCCTCGCGCTGGCCACTGTGGAAGCCATACAGGTGCACCTTGTAGTTGTGGTCGGGCTCCAGCCCCGAGATGGTGACCTGGTCCTCGTGGCCGGGTACCCGCAGCACCTTGGGCTGCCCGTCCCCGTTTCTGTACTGGAGCAGGAAGTGGTCAAAGTGTCCCTCAGGGACTGTCCAGGAGAGGCTCAGGGAGTCCGGGCTGGCGCCTGTCACCGTCAGCTCCCCCAGGCGTGGCTTTGAGGGCGGCTGGGAAGTCGTGGTGGAGGGCTCTGCCAGGGCTGTGGTTCTTAGCTCACTCCTCTCTATATCTAGGACGGGAGGAGAGAAGCCAGGCAGACGTGTCTGGTTAGGTCCCTTCTGAACAGAGGCATCTGGGTTCTCTCAGCACACGTAGGCCCCATGGGGCCCTGGCTGGAATGTTCCACTACCAGGGCAGGGCACACCCTAGGGCTGGAGCTGGGATGGTGAGGGGACCCTGTGGCTCTCCACGGGAGCTGCCCTCGCCCCTTGGGAGCTGCCAAATGTCTTTATAGTATGACGGAAACACTAGCTACAGCAAACGAGGGGCAGCATTCAAAGGGAATGCACGTGGCTTTGGGAGTCCTAATGAATGGTGTTTTCCTTTCATATCCCCCTTGGTGAGGGTGAACATAGTGGCACATGCCTGTAATCCCAGCGCTTGGGAGGCTGAGACAGGAGAATCCCTGAGAGTTTGAGGCCAGCCTGGGTTACACACTCAGTGAGCTCAAGGTCAGCCTGGCCTGCATAGTGAGATCCTATTTCAAAACACAAAGCAAAAAACCCCACTTTAGAATACTTTTTCTGAGCATCTTTTTGTCGTGGTTGTTTTGTCTTGAGGTAGAGTCTGCTGTGTAGCGCCGGCTTGCATGGACCTCGCGGCAACCCTCCTGCCCAAGCCTCCTGAGTTTAGGGATGCCAGGCGTGCACCACCACGTCACACGGGCTGAACATTTTGGGGGGATATTTGTAACTGAACTCAGGACCTTGTGCTCGCCAGGCAGGCACCGCGCCACAGAGCTGACGAAAGCCCCGGCCCCTTTCTCAACATCCTTAGAAACCAATCTCGGTTGTACCGCTCAGGGTACGGAGATGAGTGGACCGAAGTCCTTTCTGGTTGGGCTGCTCCCAGGCCTCGCAGAGTGTAGGGAAGGGATCCAGCCCAGCTCCTTCGGCCCGGGAAACCCAGTGCTTTGTTTCTACTGATTTTTTTGGTGTTCTCTGTCTCCACAGGGTTTTACTCTGCCTTCCAGTTGGATCACAAGCCCCATGGCTTCCTGGGCCTGTGCTCAGGGGTGGGGAGCAGTGACATAGTTTGGGTGTCAACAGCCAGTTCCAGGTGACTCCAAGGGGCTGGGCCTGGCTGCCATACGTCTGTGACTCCTGTGAGCTCTTGGCTGTGTGGCCCCTGGTGCCAGAGTAGGCGTCGGCACACACACAGGCATCAGCCAGGGAGCGACCCCGTTTCCCCACTGCAGGTCCTTCGGAGAATTTTCCCTCAAAGTTTCTCAGGATGCAGTGGCCTCGGAAGGGGAGACCTGGAGTTGCCCCCCTCGACTGTGAGCTCTGCCCACCGAAGCCAGCCCCAGAGGCAGCTGAGGTTATTCCTGCTTCCCAAAGAGGCTGACCGCAGCCCACACGGGCTGAGGGGCAAGGTCGGCACCAGATGTGCGAGTCTGCTTCTTCGGGGCTCCTTGCCTGAGGACTAGGCATGCCCTCGGGGGACAAGGAAGAGGTGGGGTGGTGACACAGAGGCTTGGGGCAGAGACACAAGTTGGAGCCATTTCCATGAACCCCAAGGGTCTGGGAAAAGACACCTAGACACTGACAGCCAAAGGGAAACTGAGTCCAGCCTGGCACGGGGCCCAGGGTCTTCCTGTTCTCTCACCTGTCATCCCAGTGACAGACATGGGTCCCTGGCGCTGGCCACCGTGGAAGCCGTACAGGTGCACCTTGTACTTGTGGTCGGGCTCCAGCCCTGAGACAGTGACCTGGTCCTCGTGGCCTGGGACCTGCAGCACCTTGGGCTGCCCGTCCCCGTTCCTGTA